TACTGTGTGTCAATATTCACTAGTGGGAGAGGTTATGTGGTTATAGATATCAGGGAGAAGGATTATGATATACTTAATGAGATTAGCATTGACAGAGAGGAGAGTCTGAGTGGGCTGGCAGGCACATAAGTAGATAAGTATCCAGATGACCTATATCCCAGAATTTGGAGGCAAGGGAGGAATCAGTAGGCATGCTGACAATAATATTCAATTCCCCTCTGTCCACAAAAGACGTGCCAGAAGGCTGAAGGACAGCCAATGTAGTACCATTATTCAAGAAGGGAGCGAAAGATAAACCAAGAAACTACAGGCTAGTCAGTCTAACTTGAGTGGTGGGAAACTATTGGAAGCAATTCCTAAAACAGAGTTGATCTATTTTTGCAAGGCAGGGATTACTCAAGAACAGTCAGCATTGTTTTGTTAAGAGGAGTTTGTGGCTGACCAACTTGTTTGAATTTTTCAAAGAGGTGACCATGAAGATAGATGAGGGTAATGTTTTTGATGTAGTCTACTTGGAGTTCAGCAAGGCTTTTGATAAGGTCCTACATGGGAGACTAATAGCAAAGGTAAGATCCCATGGGATACAAGGAAGTTTGACTAATTGGATCCAGAATCGGCTGAGTGTCAGGAAGCAGAGGGTAATGGCTGAGGGGTGTTTTTTTGTGACTGGAGGTCTGTGTCCAGTTGGGTTCTGCAGGGATTAGTGGTGGAGCATTGGCTGTGTGTGATATATGCACATATAAATGTTGTAGGGTTGATCAGTAAGTTTTCAGATTAAGCAAAAATTGGTGGGGTGGTAAGTAGTGGGGAAGATGGATAGACTACAAGAGGATATAGACAGGTCGGTCAGATGGCCTGCTCAGTGGCAAATGGAATTGAAATCAGATAAATGTGAGATGATGTGCTTGGGCAGGACAAACAAGGCAAGGGAATACATGATAGGACCTTAGGAAGCACCAAGAATCAGAAGGACCCTTGATTTGCATGTCCACCAATCCCTTAAGTAAGTGGGATTAAGAAGGCATATGGGATACTTGCCTTTATTATCTGAGGCTTAGAATTTAAGAACAGGGAGGTTATGCTGGAACTGTATGAAAAGTTGGTTAGGTCATAGCAGGAATATTGTGTGCAGTTCTGGAATTAGGATGTGAAGGCTAGATAGGTTAGCCAATGAAAATGGGGTGTTAAAGGGATAGGATAGGGGTCTGGATGGGATGGTTTTTGGATAATTGGTATGGACTCAATGGGCTAAATGGCCTCTTTCCACACTGTAAGGATTCTATGATTCTAAAGAAAGCATATGTATTCTCAGCTTTATTAATTGGGGCATAGAATACAAAACAAGGAGTTGATGTTAATCTTATACAAGACACTTGTTGGTCCCCAGCTGGAGTATTATGTACAGTTATGGGCACCACACTATAGAAAACATGTGAATACATTGGAGGGAGTGCAGAAGCAATGTACTAGAATGGTTCCAAGTATAAGAAACTTCAGCAATCGATTGAAGAATTTGGGACTGTTCTCCTTGGCTGAGAGGAGATCTAGTTGAGGTTTTCAAAGTTATGAGTGGGCTGGATAGAGTAGATAGAGAGAAGCTTTTTCTACTTGTATATGAAACCAGAATGTGAGTGCACAGATTTATAAAGTGATGCACAAATGGAGCAAGGGTGATGTGAGAAAAAATATTTTCACACAGTTAGTTGTTAAGGCATGGAATGCACTGTCTGAAAACATGGTGGAGGCAGGTTTAACGGAGATTTCCAAGAGGGCGTTGCATTTTTTTTGGCTAGTAATGGTGTGCAGAAATTTGGACAAAAGAGTGGAGATTGGCACTAGGTAATATAGAACCAGTATAGGCACAATGGGCCAAATGGCCTCCTTCTGCACCATAATAATACTGTGATTTTGTAAACATTGAGCTGATTGGCCTATTTATACATTCTATGTAACTCATGTTCCCAAGTTTATATTATTATAAGAAAGTGCCTCAACAGGGCTCTTAGTAGGATGGGATGACGGACAGAGTCTGATACTTTGGAAGCAGTTTTCATAATATTAACTCAGATGTTATTTTCATCTCAATGACTGTCTTCACGGATGGCTGTGCAGAAACATAATCTTAAGAGCTCCCTTCTTATTTATTTATTACTGTTGTTCACAATCTTTTAACTAGCATTGCATCTGATCCACTAATTTTCTTTGCTCAAAAATAAAATGTTGCACATATTTGAAATCTGAGATAAGCATGGAATATGTGGTAAATACGCAGCAGATCAGACAGCATCTGTGGAGAGAGAAACAGTTAACATTTACAATTAGTGATCTTCCTACAAAACTCGAAGAAGTAGTAATAGCAAATATAGATGTGGTATTTTGGGTGGAGAGGTAGACAATGAACAAAAGGGATTGGCTATGATATGGTGGAAGGCAGGGAAGATGCATAAAAAGAAATGTTGGTACGAGACAGAGAAAGGTGATAATGTGGCAACTAAAGAAGCAAGATGAAAAAGGAAAAGGCAAAAATAAATGAGTTGCTCTTTATTAAATTGGGGAAGAAATTATGATCTGAAATTGTTGAACTCAATTTTGAGACATGAAGTCTGTAAAGCATCTATGGATGAAGTGCTGTTCCTTACTGGCCTGTTTTTCTTTATTCCTTCAGGGCGTGGGGGTTATATTGTTTAGACCAGCATTTATTGCTCAACCCGGATTGCCTTTAGTAGTGAGGCGCTTTTTTGAACAACTACAGTCAATGTGGTGTAGTTCCCACATGTCTCCTGGGAGGAATTTCCAGGATTTTGACAAGTGTCACTGAAGGAATGGTGATGTATTTCCAAGTCAGGAATGGTGAACTTAGAGGGCAACTTGCAGTTGGTGATATCCCCATGTATCTGCTGCCCTCATCCTAGATGGTATAGGTCAGAATTTTGAAAGATGCACTCTAAGGAGCCTTGATAATTTTTTAATGTCCTTTTGCAGCCATTTGGAATCATTCTCATTATTTGCCCAAATTTTAAGTTTTGCAATATCAGCAAAATTAGAAATAATTTTGTATTTTAGTATCTGTATTTTGTATTTTAGTAACTTTGTATTATAGTATCTGCATGCAAAACAAAACTTTTCATTATACCTGGGTACATGTGACAATAATAAATAAAATCAAATAAATCAAATCAAATATCCAAATCATTTATAAGTATCAAATTAAGTAGTTTGCCTAGGTCTGAGCCTTGTGGAATATCACCATCTCCCACCTTCCAGTTAATAAATAACTATTTTTCATCGATGACTGATTTCTTAACCTCTGGTTGCACTTTGGCCCCATGCTCCTGATCTTTGGGACACCAGCAGGGAGGGTGCGAGTAGGTCTGAGGGTCTAGCTAAAAGTAGCCATTAATAGGCAGCAGGGTGAAGGGCATTGTAAATCCTGACTGTCTGTCTCCCTTCTCCAGCTACCTTAGAGCATGGGTGTCCTTGGAAAGGGAGCACATGGTGCCCACCAATACCCTCAAAACCTTAAGACAGTGTTGGGACTGGATCACCTTGTCTTTCCATCCAACACTGCTTTAATTTAGTTTCTCCCTTGTTCATCCCTTTTCTAAAAAAAACAGTTCTGTTATTTTTACACTTCCCCTGGTGGGGTGTGTTTCTAATTTGTGGCTTGGTAATTGAGTGATTATCCAAAGAGCTGAATTTCTCCCCAGTGGAGTGTTATCTTCTGCACAGGGAAATGGTCCAGACAAAAAGGTGAAAAGTGATCTTTGTACTCTTCTAAAGTGTTACAAACAAAATGTGTAAATTTCTGAAAGTATGTTGCTGCTAAATTCAACTTCTGGATATTGGTGTTTGAAACATCCTGTTCCCTGGAGTTGAATTCGTCTGAGATTGGGATTAGCATGAGCACTGGGATCAGTCTGGAAACAATTGTTTCTATCTCCACTCCCTGGAGCTGGAGTTTAGGATCGCTTAGGTTTCTAGCTCCCTGCTGCTGGATTTGGAATGGTCTTGAAATGGAAATCGGATTTGGAATGGATTGTTTTGGAATGCAGCTGTCTGTTTCCTGGTCCTTGAAAATTGGGTTGATATGGCATTGGCAAGAATGCTAATTCTGGCTCCCTCTCTGTATTTCTGACTCCCTCTCATTGGAACTGGATTGGGAATGGAATTGTTATGCTTCTGGCTCCTCTTCACTGGACATAAAAAAACCACAGATGCTTGAAATCCGAAACAAAAACAGAAATTGCTGGAGAAACTCAGCAGGTCTGACTGCATCTGTGGTTTGGGAATAGGATTGCTGCTGGTTCTGGGCACTCCCCCTGGATTGGGATAGGTATGAGAACGCCAATTCAGTTGCTGCTGTTCCTGGGCTCTCTCCCCCACAGTTGAAATGTGAATGGGTTTGCTGCTGTTTCTACTCTCTCTCGTTCAATTAGTTTGGGAATGGGAATGATTGTGCTTGTGGCTTTCTCCCAGGATTGGGATGAGATTGGATTGAAGCTGTTTCAATGTCTATCCCTGGATTGAGATGGGAATCCAGGTAATAGTCCAACAGGTTTATTTGAAATCACAAGCTTTCTAGGCGTTGCCCCTTTGTCAGGTGAAGGTTGTGATTTCACTTAAACCTGTTATACTACAACCTGGTAAGGGGTAAAGCTGGATGAACACAGCAGGCCAAGCAGCATCAGAGGAGCGGGAAAGCTGACGTTTCGGCCCTAGACCCTTCTTCAGAAAATTAAACTACAACCTGGTGTCGTGTGACTTCTGGCTTTGTCCACACCAGTCCAACACCGGCACCTTCACATGGGATCGGAATGAAGTTACTGATGCTATTAGCTGGATGGACTCATGGTGACAAGCTACAGCCCTCGCGCTCTCCGCCAGGGGTCAAGCGCTGGTTCTTCACGTGCCGTGCAAGGGCGATAGGCGGGGCTAATGACCGCCAATGTGACGCACGGAAGGGGCGGCGATTGTGACGTCAGATGTGGGCGGGACAGAAGGCCGTGCGAGCATGCGCAGAGCTCTGGTCGACGGAGAGGAAAGCATTTCAGAGCCGAGGTGGGGAAGCTGGGGAGCGGAGCCGAGCCACCATGGCTGGGGAGGCGATGCAGGTAGGAGGCGAGTAGTAAGCGGTTCGGCCTGTGAGTGATCACAGGACAACGTCAGACTGGCGGCTTTCTCGGCCAGTCAGGTCGCGGCGCCGGTTCCTGAGACCCCAGCGGCACCGCCCGGGGTGGGAACGCCCTGCCGCATGATTGGCAGCTAGCAGCACCAATCAGTGAGAGGTCGGCGGCATCGCAGCCAATCAACGCGGAGGAGGTGAAAACCCACACTTGTCCATGGGGTGGCGGTGTGGAGCTACAGTGGGGCGGGTGGCTGTGAACTGACAATGTAGAGCTCAGGGGTCTCGGCCCCGGGGCCGGGTGGGGGTAGATGTCAATACCCGGGAGGTGCTGGGTGGAGAAGACGTGGGAACGGTGGATCTTTCGGAGGATGTTTACAGTGAGAGCTTGGGGGAGTGGCCCCACCCGACACACTGTTTTGGAAGTTGTTTTGCTCTTGTGTCCACTGTGGTATTTTACTTTTTTATTATTCAGTGGACAGTGTTCTCCTCGTCTGATCGCGGCCTGTTAATCTGATGCTGTTCCTGCCTGCTAGGCACTTTGAAAAGAACGAATCTGAAAGTGTTTCCTGTTATGGTTTCATTTTAAGAGACTTGCTGTCTGATCCATCACTTTGGCCTTGTTTACGTGTGTGATGTGACTCCGGCTTCAACCTTGCTTAGAGGAACAGTACTAGGAAGAGTCACGGTGCTCCTCTTTAGGGGTATTGCAAAGTGTTGCCTGATTTAATAGGACGACCCGACCCCTCATTGTCCATTCAGACAGCATTATCGGAGTCGGTGTTCGGGGAGTTCAGTGAACTGTCCCAGCATAAACCTGAGATAACAAGGTGTAGAGCTGGATGAACACAGCAGGCCAGGCAGCATCAGAGGAGCAGGAAGGCTGACGTTTCGGGCCTAGACCCTTCATTAGTGCGAACCGAGCTAAACAACTACACCTCCCAGTCGCGAACCATTTTAACTCCCCCTCCCATTCCGCAGACGACATATCCATCCTGGGCCTCCTGCAGTGCCACAACGATGCTACCTGAAGGTTGCAGGAACAGCAACTCATATTCCTTTTGGGAACCCTGCAGCCCAATGGTATCAATGTGGACTTCACAAGCTTCAAAATCTCCCCTCCCCCTACCGCATCCCAAAACCAGCCCAGCTAGTCCCGCCTCCCTTACCTGTCCTTCCTCCCACCTTAAGCCCCACCCCCACCTCCTACCTATTAACCTCATCCCGCCCCCTTGACCTGTCCGTCCTCCCTGGGCTGACCTATCTCCTCCCTACCTCCCCACCTACACTCACTTTTACTGGCTCCATCCCCACCTCCTTGACCTGTCTGTCTCCTCTCCACCTATCTTTTCCTCTATCCATCTTCTATCCGCCTCCCCCTCTCTCCCTATTTATTTCAGAAACCCCTTCCCCTCCCCCATTTCTGAAGAAGGGTCTAGGCCCGAAACGTCAGCTTTCCTGCTCCTCTGATGCTGCTTGGCCTGCTGTGTTCATCCAGCTCTACACCTTGTTATCTCAGATTCTCCAACATCTGCAGTTTCTACTATCTTCAGCATAAACCTGCTGGTTCAGTGTTAACAGATGTATTGGATCTGCATGCTTCTGTGTTGTAAAAATGCTAGAGCTAGTTGTACAAGATGATAGATTTGAGTGGACAGTGTGAAACAGAGGAGTGGAGCTAACTGGATAACTCTTCAGAAACAGCCAGTGTAAGCAAGATAGGAAGAATGGACCCCTGTGTTATAAGATTCAGTGTTTAAATGGAAACTGTATTGGATTTTTTTTCCATTTCTAATGACTGTATGTACATTTCAGCTCCTGGGCTACCAAATGAGCCCACTGATAACTGTGGAGCTGGAGGAGCACAGTAGGCCAGGGAGCATTGTTGACGTTTTGACAGAAGTGTCCCGACCCAAAACGTCAACTTCCTGTTCCCCTGATGCTGCCTGGCCTGCTGTGTTCCCCCAGCTCCACAGTTATATCTGACTCCAGCATCGGCAGTTCTTACAATCTCTAAATGAGCCCACTGGTTGTTTGTGTGCCTGACAAAAGGCAATGGATGTCTTGTGTGACCTCGGTTTCTGCTTCTGCTGCTCTTGTCCGTTGCAATTGATTCAGCAAGATGATCTGTAAGTGGATAAGTCACACACCACCCTATTGTTCCTTTTCATTGCTGTGATAAAATCCCTGTTTGTTAACACTGAGTGCCTTCTGTGCACTGATTATAGCTAGCAGTTCATGTTGCTGTCTGATCAGCACCCTCCTTTTTTGGCCTCTTTGTTTAAGAAAGTATGTAATTGTATTAGAAGTGCTTCAGAGGAGGTTCACCTGACTGATTTCTGGGTAGGGGTTACAAGGAAAGGTTGGTTGGTCATCTGGGCCTGGATCTATTGGATTTAGAAGAATGAGAGGTGACCTTATTGAAATTTAAGGTTCTGAACAGTCTCAACCAATGTAGATTTCAAAAGAATATATCCTGTGTAAGCAACTAGAATGAGGGGATAAAATTGTTTCAGAGATAGCAGGAACTGCAGATGCTGGAGAATCTGAGATAACAAGGTGTAGAGCTGGATGAACACAGCAGGCCAAGCAGCATTAGAGGAGCAGGAAGAAGGGTCTAGGCCTGAAATGTCAGCCTTCCTGCTCCTCTGCTGCTTGGCCTGCTGTGTTCATCCAGCTCTACACCTTGTTATCTTAGAATGAGGGGATGTAGCTTTAACAAAGGTTTCCCATTTAAGGCTGAGGTGAAGAGAATATTCTCTGAGGATTGAGAGCCCCACTCTTCTTCAGTGGGGTGGAGGCAGGATTGTTGAAAATTTTTAATGCAGAGTTAGTTAGTAATCTCGACTAACAAGGGAGCCGGAGGTTATTGGGGGTGGAATTGCCTCTTAAGTTGGCATTGAGGCTATAATCAGGTGTGGATTTTATTGAGTGGTGGAACAGGCTCGAGAGGCTGAACAGTCCACTCCTCCCAACTTGTATGTTCTTGGAGTTAGTGGCAGTAATGCCCCACATCCTGTAAACAAATTTGGGAATAAGTAGCAAAGAGTGTGCTTAAAAGAAAAGGCGGAGACAGTCCTGGCTTCAGAGCAAATACCAAAAGTAAGAATCCTGTGTCAACGTTTGTTAAATTGTTGGTTATATCTCAGTTGGTGAATTGTGTCCAATTCCAAGCATTTGTCTGTGGGATAAATGTTGGATAGGTGCTACTTATTTATTACTAGAATGAAAATTTATTAGAATGAAAACCTGAAGAGATTAGTGTTTTCAGTACAAAACAGATTTCATATATAAGGAGAAAAAAATTATAGGCAGCCAAGGTATTTCTCGGAATGCGCTACTTGAAAGGGAAGTGAAGGCAGTCACAAATGTGACATTTGTGAGTGAACTGAATAAATAATTGATTGGAATATTCTGAAGATGCGAAGAACAGGCAGCTGGGACTGATTTGAATAGCTCTTTCAAACAGCTGGCACATATTCTTTAGACTGAATGGCCTCCTGTGCTGTAAGGTTCTGTTATTCTCAGTAACCATGTTGGTAAGGTATCGTGGGATTCTTGGTTCGAGCCCTGCAGGATTATACAGTAGGCCCTTTGGACCAATCAGTCTGTACTCCAAGACTATGCTAAATCTACACTAGTCCCACTATCCAGCACTGGGCCCTTGGACATAAATGTTATGGCTTTTGCAAAGTGTGCTGCCATCCTCCAACCCTGCCATCCTCCACCCCCTCCAACCTCCTGCCTTTTCACTTTAAAGTTATGCCCCCTTGTCATTGACTGCTCAACCAAGGGGAGCAACTGTTTACTGTTGACTCTGTCTATGCCTGTTATAATCATACACCTCTATCATGTACCCCTTCAACCTTCTCTGTCCAAAGAAAACAGCCCGAACATATCCAGCCTCTCCTCATAGCTAAAGCACTCCATCGCAGGCAACATCCTGGTCAATCTCCGCTGCAATGCAATCCTTTCTGTTGTGCGTTGGCCAGAACTGTGCACAGAACTCCAGGTGTGGCGTAACAAAAATCACGTACAGCTCCAACATAGCCTCCCTGCTCTTATAATCTATGCCTCGAATGGTAAGATAAGTGTCTCATATGCCTTCCTAACTACCCTATTAATCTGCCCTGCCACCTTCAGGGATTTGTGGTCAAGCACCCCATGATTCTGCTGTTCCTGAGCTTCCTGGTGTCCTATCGTTTGTTCAGTACAATTTTGTTACTTCCAAAGTGCATCACCTCTCACTTATCAGTGGCAGATGGAATTTAAACCTGATCTGCCCATCTGACCAATCTGTTCATACTGTCCTGTTGCCCAAGATCACTTTCCTTGATGTCAACCACCGGGCTGATCTTCACGTCACCTCAAACCTCCTTATTCCCCGCTTCTCCCCCCGCCACGTTCTCATCTACATAGTTTGTGATGTATATAAACACAATAAGGAACCCAGTAGTCATCCCTATGATATATCACTGGGTGCCAACCTCCAGGCTTTTACCACCATCCTGTTTTCTGCCACTTTGGATCCAACTTGCCAAGTTACTTTGGATCCCATATGCTTTTACCTTCATTCCCACTCTCCAATGTGGGACCTTGTCAAAGTTTTTTTTGTGCTGAAATCCGTCCACTCTTTCCTTGGTTATTCTCTTCTCTTTGACATGCCAACTCCATTGTTTGAGCACAAAAATGCAGTTTGAGTTCTTGTGCTGCAGTTTGATGTGCTCTGTCTGTTCATGTGGATGTAAAAGATCCCAAGGTGCTATTTAAAGAGGAGCAGGGAAATTGGAGGTGAAATATTGGCCAACACACTCTAATCAACACCACTAAAAACAAATTACTTGGTCCCTATCAGTGTATGTGCAGAGATTGTTGTATGTATATTTCATTTCCTGTATTTTGACCGTGACTGCAATCTGAATATCTGGGCTTTATAAGCAGACTGAGAACATCTGGTGGTTGTGAAAGGTGCTATATGAATATAAGTCT